GTTCTTCTATTCTCAACTTTTCAGGACTCGGTGTGTTGATGCTTTCGTTTGGTGGTAAATTGTCCCGTCTTTCTTCTGCTAAGATTAAGAGAGGCAGAGTTTCTGAAATGACGCACACTATTTCCTCCGATATCGTGCGAAATCCGCAAGCAATTCCTAAATCTGGGTCTTGCCATTTTCCTGTATTTTGAGTTTTGAGAGCATCAGCCCATATGGGAATACCATTTGTAAGCACCAAAGTAATCACTGATGGTAGTAATGTCCTTCTGGTTTGTTTAGGGCCTCCAACATTAGCACTAACATGTTCCATCTGTGATTGAAACTCAATCAAGCATCAAGCATTACGCTAAGGTAACAGATGTGAGGTTTTTGACGTGATCTCTAGATTTCTATCTTCAGCTTGATGGTCTCTATTGTTTTTCTACTCGTGATTAGAACAGCTCAGAGATATCTCTGAGCTCTGAGCTTTTGCTATGTGTCGAAGCAACGATTTGCTCTTTTGTGGCTTGTATCTTGAAACACTCATTGTTCTTATAATTTTTAACTTCTCGTAGGGTAGTTATAGTAATGGGCCGAAAATCGAAAATAAAAATTATTGCATTTTTCGACGTTTTGAAGGTTTCTGAATATTTTGGCATACCTCAGAAAAAATGGATGTGTGTGTGTGTGTGTTTTGTATGTCCGCATTTTTTCGTCCACGTTTTCGGGCGCACGGATCAACCGATTTGAATGGTTTTAAAAAACATTCGATTCCTTTAATAGGGAGATGTGCTGATTAGTTTTTGGCAAAGGCAGGTCCAGCCGTTACGGAGATATGGAGCAAAGAGTGCAGAAAATAGAAATCGAGTTTTTTGAGAGAACGGTTCAACCGATTTGTATGATCCAAAAAACATTCAGTTCGTAATGACGGGAAAACGGGCTATTAGTTTTTGGCAAAGGTAGGCCTAGCGGTTTTGGAGATACAGAGCTAAATGTTAAAAAAAAAATGGCAGTTTTTGAGAGAACTAAGCGTCCGATTTATTTAATTGATTCAAAGAACTTTCCTTGTTTCAACAAAATAATTGCTTTTGGAAAAAAAATTTTGTTTCTAATTTTTTTTCAAAAAATATTTTTGTAATTTTTGATTAAAAATTCAAACTAGTGGGGTGTATGGATGGCATCGTGCTTTAAGGCAAATTGCTTGAACTTCCCGTATCGTAACGAAATGTTCGAGGAATACTGAATGTTTTCAAATAGATTATTATTATTAATATTGGAACATTGTCTAATATTTATAAGAATATATATATCTGAATTGCTAAGGTGAAATTATTTGTTTAAAGTATATTAGAACTATAGTTAGAATTAAAAGTAAAATCTGAATTATTTTCGATATACAAAAAAAAAATTTTTTTGAAAAAAAAAAATTGAAACATATTTTTTTTCCAAAATCAATTATTTGTTAAGACAAGCAGAAAGTTCTTTGAATCATTTAAATCGGACGCTTAGTTCTCTCAAAAACTGCCATTTTTATACATTTAGCTCCATATCTTCGAAATGGCTGGGCCTGACTTTGTCAAAAACTAATAAACACTTCTCCCAATCATTACTTATTGAATGTTGTTTAGATCATTCAAATCGGATACTCCGTTCTCTCAAAAACTCGATTTCTATTTTCTGCACTCTTTGCTCCGTATCTCCGTAATGGCTGGACCTGCCTTTGCAAAAACTAATCAGCTCTTTTCCTATCAGTAGGAATCGAATGTTTTTTGAACCATTCAAATCGGTTGATCCGTGCGCCCGAAAACGTGACTGGAAATTTTATCCATACATACAACACACACACACACACACACGTCCATTTTTTCTGAGGTATGCCAAAATGTTCAGAAACCTTCAAAACGTCGAGAAATGTAAAAATTTTCAATTTCGATTTTCGGCCCATTACTATAACTACCCTACGGAAAGTTAAAAATCACCCAGACTAAGCACAGTCTAAGCGCCACTCTGGCGCAAATGTTTACCCAAGTGCGTTTACACTGTTTATGTACTGGAGCACTTTTCCAATTTTGTGAAACAAAACTATTGAAAATGTGAAAATGCCGCCAACCTAAGCACAGTTTAAGTGAAAATGTCTCACTGAATTATTTGCAAATGTGTTTAGACTGTGACTATACGGGAGCACTTTTCAATTTTGAGCAAATTAGGCATCTATTTTTTTTAAATTGAATTCGAAATAAAATGACGATTGTTGTTAATGTTCTAGAGATAAATTCTGCTCAGATATAACAAGATAGCAAAAATAATGAAAGTTACAGTTTTTGTAATAATATATTTGAAAACGTTTAAAGTTTCTCGAATTTCCAGCAATTTGTCTTAAGGCACGATGCCATACACCACTAGTTAATTTTAAAATTCATGTTATGTTTCAAACGAATGTCCTCGACAGTATGAAATAACCGATTTGAATAATTTAAAAAACATTTGATTCGTATTGATAAGGAAACGTGCTGATTAGATTTTTGCGAAGACAGATCTAGCCGTTCCGAAGATACGGGGTAAAAAGTGCCAAAAACGGTAACTCAGTTTTTAAGAGAACGGAGCGACGGTTTAATAGTTCGAAAAACATTTTACTTGTATTGATGAAATGAACAACTGGTAAAATTTTTGGGAAGGCAGGTCCAGCGGTTATGGACTATCAATAAAAATAATTTAAAAAAAAATGTCATTTGGCGGTCAAAAATCTTCATTGGACATATGTACATCAAATTATCAGATATTTTATAGAGATTACTATGTACACATTTTGTGTAAATTTTTTTGGGTTTCGTACCAAGATTGTTAATTTTCAAGTTTTTTTACATGGTTCAAACAAATGCCCTCGACATTTTCGACAGTATGGAATAACCGATTTGTATGATTGAAAAATCATTCGGTTCGTACTCGATCGCGAGGCGTTTTTGCAAATGGCAATTTTGCCGTTTCGGAGGTATGGAGCGTAAAGGGCATGAAAACGGTTTTGCAGTTTTTGAGAGAACTTTAATCCGATTAGATTAATTCAAAAAACATTTACAGAAAATTTAGTAATTTTGAAAATTAAAAAAAAAATCAAAATTTAAAAAGAAATTCAAAGTTTCAAAAAATTCAAATTTTAGAAACTTTTCATCATTTTCAAAAAAACTAAATTTCGAAAAATTAAAAAAATTGATTGCTTACAAAATTTGAGAATGTTTCGAAAATTAAAAAAAAACGAATATTTTAAACATTTCCAAGTTCTCATAATATTTAAAAAAAACGTTTTGTTTTAATTCCAAAAAATTTAAACTGTGAAAAAAATTTCTCAATTTTGAAAAAATTCCAAAATTTTGAAAAAAATTCTAAATTATCAAAAAATTTCTAAATTATCAAAAAAATCTAATTTAGAAAAAAGGACTCTTATATACGTACATATAAGTTGTTTGTAAAATACGCTCATCATCCAATTCAAAAAGCACTTATAAATTTACAGTATGTATTAAAAATCTTCAAAACAATTATTAATTATTTTCATTCCTCGAATGTTTAATTAAGATACGGGAAGTTCCATCAATTTGCTTTAAGGCACGATGCCATGCGCCCCACTAGTTTTCTAATTTATATAAGCGAAATGACTTTGTTATTAAATTATTCTTCAATTAATTTTATTGAGCATATTGTTTCAAAGAACAAGTAAAGTTATAAATACGATTACAAATTTTTAGAACCACAAGTTCGTTCAATATGTGATCATGTTAGGCCAGACCGACAAGCATTACTGTTCAGCGCAACTTTCAAGCGTAAAGTGGAAAAATTAGCCCGAGAAGCATTGACCGATCCAGTTAGGATTGTTGCTTGGTGGTGGTGAAGTTGGTCTGGCCAACCAAGATGTGGAACAAAGAGTTCTGGTAATTCCTCAACCTGCACATGAACGGAAATGGGCATGGTTACTAAATCACATTGTAGAAATGATGTCTGCTGGAAGTGTTTTGGTGTTTGTTACAAAAAAGGTGAGATCATATATATATATATATATATATATATATATATATATATATATATATATACTACACATTCTTTAATATTTTATTTAAATTACATTTGAATTTTGATATACAAAATTTAAATGAAATATTAAAGAATGTGTAGTATATAAGTAACTGTTCTTGAAATTACACTGAAGATGAGGCATACCAAGGTCTCGAAACGTCTGCAATTTTTAAATAAAGTGTGTGTTAAAAAATCTGAGTGTTGTATTGTTCATATTTAACATTTAATATTCGTTCCACTCATATCACAAAATTCTATATATGATTATTATGCTTATATATAACTAAAATTATATGAGGTAATGTTTGTGAACAATTACTGCTAATCATTGTTAAATATTTACTTGCATATTTCTCCAATATCCTCCAGATTTTAGATGTACTTCTGAGGCTTTATCCTAAATAAATCAAATTGAAATAATTCACTTATGATAACAATATAACATTTTTATATAAATCTACGATTTATGTTCTATAGAGTGACGCTGAGCAAGTGGCAAATAATTTTAAATTAAAAGAATTTGATGTTCTCTTATTACATGGTGATATGGAACAAGCAGAAAGAAAATAAGGTGATTACGTCCTTCAGGAAACAAGAAGTTCCTATAATGGTTGCTACAGATGTTGCTGGTAATGCATTGTTATTTAAGATACCTTGTTTACGTCCTACACATAATTATTCCACGATTTTTTTAGTAAGACTTTTGAATTATAATATTTTTGTCAAAAAATCTGAAAATTTTGATTGCTCAGCATTAAAACTAAAATTATTTGCCACAATAAATGGTAAATGTTTGTGTGCTTGCATATGTATATGTATATATTTGACTCCAATTGGCTATATACAGCTAATTTTATAGTACTGTTATTACACAAAAACGGCTGAACCGATTTCAAAAAGTTTAAAACCGTTGATTCGCACTCGGCTGAGCCACGTTTCTGTAGTAGAATTAGCAGAAAGGTACAAAATTTTTTGTACACTTTTAGCCAAAAACCCTGAATTGATTTCGAACATTCCAAAACTATTTCAAAGAAATCGAATTAATGAATCTTTGTATGACGATAAATGTAAATTTAATAATTCTTTGTATGATGATAAGGAATCTGGTCGTAGTGAACATACTAAAATATTATAGTCTTACAAAAAGTGTTTCATTTATATAAAAAATTAAAATTTGAATTTATTACTTTTAGAAAATTCAACAATGTGTAATGAAAAAAATTGTGCAATAAATAACAAAATAAATATTGATACAAAAAATATATTGATTAAGTTTATGCAACTTGCATTAAGGCAAAGTTAGTTCAAAAAGATTCAATGGATTATAATGTAATGTAATGTAATTTATTGGTCTTATACACAAAATGATAGTTTTATTTTTTTAGTAACGAATAGTTTAAAATATTATATTCATAGAGTTCATATAATCTCCAATCTAAATTAGTTAAATTAATTGTAGTAATGACATATGCTTGCTGTATTTTCTAATTGTTGGCATATTTTTCAGCTAGGGGTTTGGATATTCCACATATTAAGACTGTTGTGAATTATGATATTGCACGAAATATAGACACACATACTCACAGAGTTGGAAGAACAGGCAGAGCTGGTGAAAAAGGTGTAGCTTATACCTTGATGAGTGAAAAAGATAAGGAATTTGCTGGACACATAGTTAGGAATCTAGAAGGAGCAAATCAGGTAATTGTGTGTTTTATCTAAATTTATATTGTTATTACAATCTTTTGCTAAAGAGTAGTTTGCAACATGCCAAAGGAGAAGTTTGTTTTTGCGAAAAAATCCGATTTGCTAATTTTAAGTTTTTAAACACACTTTAAAAAAATACATTTTTGGAGAACGAAATGACATGAAAAGTTGTGAACAAATAAACTTAATGTATACAATTATAGATATTATAATAAGTAAAAGACATCAATTGGAAAGAGTGTTGGTATTTTCTTAGCGAAAGTGAAAATTTTGTTGTTGAAATAAACAGATGAAGTGATTTTATAAATCTAAATAGCTCAATTTTTATTGGTTAAGTTGATTATATATGCATATTGGGAGTTCATGCAACTTGCCTTAAAACAAAATGCTACTTAAAACTAGTTTAATTAAATTTTTTTATTAATTGACATTACATAAACAAAAAATAATTCTACCTAAACCTATATAACATTATGAGTAAATATGCTCACGTAATATAGAAAACTGAAAAATTATTTTGGCTTTTAACTATTATGTGACAATATATAATTTTTTTATTCATAGGAAGTACCCAAAGAAGTGATGGATTTAGCTCTACAAAGTTCATGGTTCAGGAAATCAAGATTTAAACAAGGTAAAGGAAAAAAATTGAATGTTGGAGGCGTCGGATTGGGTTTCAAAGAACGTCCAGGAATGCGAACTTCAGAAGATACTGGCACAAATAATTCCTATGAAAGAGCTATTATTAAACCACCTAAAGGACCTGCTACAAGCAGACTTTCTGCAATGAAAGAAGCTTTCAAATCCCAATATACCAGTCAGGTATTTATATAGATTGAATCACTATACTATTAGTGCAGTAAACGGAGAGGAAAAAGGGTCTCTGCCCCGATTTGCATGAAATTTTGGAATTAGGTTCATCTTATCTTCAAGTTCAAAAGTGAAAACAATTTGGACTTTGCCACTACCCCCCGGGGAGTTGCGAGCCCTTAATGAATAAGTGGACATTGAGCCATTTTATCGCTAGAAAACGTTTTCAATATTAAAGGATATAATTAAAAAGTATTTTTTAATACATTGACTTGCAATAAAATCGTTTTCAACCCCGTGAATACCCCAAAACCCTTCAAACAACCTCTAAATTGAAAAAACAACACTTAAAAATAAATTTCAGTTTAATATGAATTACGTATAAAGTAAATAATATTTTATGTTTTCTATCTTGATTATCAATTTTTAAACCCTTTTTAGACCCCTTCATAAAAAATTGTTCGAAAAAATTATTTTGAAATTGAAAGAAAATTAAGACGTTCAAAGTGATATGAATGTTATATGTTAGGTTATATGTTGTTCTTCGTAACACTAGTACACAGTATAATTTTTTCTAAACTCACTTATTTTTATTTAATGATTTTTTTTTTATTTAAAAATGTAATATTTTTATTTATTCGAAAAATTTCCTTTTACTATCATAAAAATATTTTCATTCTTATATGTGAAAATGATGCATGAATAACGAATAATTATTTTCAAAGTTATTTAATCAAGATAAACTATTATTTTTTAGTTCTACTAATTAAAATTAAAATAATTTTGTTTACTATCTATAAAATTAAACAATAAATAAATTCAGTCAAATACTGCTCTAAATTACACTAAATTTGCAGATAAATTACAGAATATTCAAGCAAAAATTTATTTTTTATATAAAATTCGAAAACCGGTTAAAACCGGTTTTTTAGTAAAATTAAAATTCGAAAACCGGTTTTCTGAAATGTCGGTTTTTGCATAAGCCCTAATATATATATATGGTTATGTGTATTTATAATAATAATATATATATATATATATATATATATATACCATTTGGAAGGTAAAAGGGCTACAACTTTTTTTATTATTTTTTTCGTAACTCCTCTCATTTTGAAACCGCGAAGGGTTAAAGGGCTCGAGAGAGACTCAAATAATCATAACTCGTCAATTTTTGTGTGAAAGAAATATAATAAAAAGCAATAATAAGCCAAAAATACCCCTTTGATTTTTATTTATATGCTTTTATATGTATCTTTTATTCTTTCTTAGATATAACAAATATAAGTTTGATTTTTTAAAAAATCGGATTTTTCTTTATAAAATCGTGAGTTTTCTGAAAATAGTTTGTACTAAAGTAGTGAATCTGCTAGAATCCATCAAGATCTTTATAAAAGAAGAAGAATTCTAGATAGAATGTGAATAACTTTAATTTTGGTCGAAATGGCGCTCATTAAACTATATGATTTAAATGAAAAAAACATCGTATATGCATCATTTGCATGATAACTCACGCATTTTACACGCAAAAAACTTGTAACAGCACTATTAGTGCACTATTAAACCCAATTTCACTGAAATGCATAACATGTAACACTTCTCCACTAGATGGCTTTAAATACAACAATTAAATATTGAACGAAAAAAAACGACTTTGCTCTTTCAAATCTAGCTTAATATTATTCCTAGAACTTTATAAAATACCGATTCATTAAGATTTTTATTGACATTATTTTGTTCATTACATGATTTTCGTTAAAATGTATATTTTAGGAGATATTTGCAAAAAAACGAAGAAAAACGCCAAAAATATATGAATTTTTAGTAGCCAGTATCTTAAAAAGTATTAGCTTTTTTTTTTGAAAAACTTTAAAAGACATTTTATATCCGACGTTATTTGAAAAAATAAAATTAGACAGCTGAGAAGGGATATCATCTCCCGGTACGAATTGTTTTCACTTTTGAACTTGAGGATAAGATAAACCTAATTCCATAAATTCATGCAAATCGGAACATAGTAAAAAAAATCAGACCCAAAACACTCCATTGACTGTAGTATATGCAGTTTGCATATCTCATCAATAATTTTTCAACACACATTGTGTTATTTTCAATAATTTTTTGGGTATCCAATTCCACCTTTATGAATTAAAAAATGTATAACATTAAATTGAAACAAATCAAATTAACTCATATTTCAGAAGATATTATGTGGTGAATATGCTAACTAATTTGATGTATATATCAGTCCTTGTGCTCAATTTAATAATCTTAATACTTTAATATTATTTTAATACTTTTACGTTAAATTATTACTTTTTATTAAATAATATTAATATTATTAAATAATTTGTTTTATTGGCATATTACACAATTCTTGGATATGTTTAAAAAAAAAAATACATTTTTATCTCTATTTAAAAGTTGCAGTGTAAGTTACTAAATTTAAAATATTAGTCTGCAAAAATATTCAATAATAGTATGTTTTAATGGTTTTGCAGTTTAAAGCGTCGACTGATCACTCTTGGGAAAATAATGTGCAACCGCAATTTGTACCACCATTAGCTCCAGAGCCATTGCCTATTCAAGATAATAATAAACGCAAAGCTAAAAAGAGCAGATGGGAATAAATGAATTAGAATTAGTTTAAAATACTTAAAATATTACTTTATGTATATATATATATATATGTATATATATATATATATAAAATTTTGTTTGTGAACTTTGAGATATGTTTCGTATTTGTGAAAACGTAATGAATTATTTCATGAACTCTTGTATATATGAGGTTATTTTATTATATTAGTTCTTTTATATACATAAGCGTTTTGTATTAAGATACATATATTACTTTTCTTAATTGTTTTACATAATGGATTTTCTAAAAGCATGTATTGAAACCATCTAGTGTTCTGACGTCAATTTTAAAACATTCATTTAAATATCAAAAGTGTTAATTTACATTTTTTCAATATCTATTTCTTCATTTGTGAAAAATGAATTGTAACCCATGAAAAATATATTTTGCCAGATTTTTTTCTCAAGTAGACAAGTTTGTTGGTTATTTATCTGTTGAACTTACAGAGGGGTTCAATTAAAAAAATATTGTATGATTAAAAAAGAGAGACCTTACATTTCAAGTGTGGGATTTTGAAGAAATTTATGATGAAAGATTTGGTTTCCAAAGTGACTATCATAAAATATTAGATACATATGAAAATTAAATATTGCGTATTAGGGTCATTCTTTTACAAACCGAACACCAATTAACCTTGACATTTTAGAATTGTCTGAAAATTTGTTTACAGATAATATTCATAAAATCATTTAACACGTATTTCAGGATTTTGCTAAAAAAAAATTTTTCCGAAATTCGAAAGTGACAAATGAATACAAGTCTTTGAGGTCCCCGACGTGAAAAGCGCGGCTCGCGCTTGAAAATATTTATTATTTTTCGATGTAACAAAGTCTCCAACAAATTGTAAAAAGAATTTTGTTGCAGAGAAAAAAAGAAAAAATATGTTTTTTTTGGATCGATTCAAGTTGGGGTAAGGCTGAGTAAAACCTTTGTAAATATTTAAGGGTTGTTATTGTTAAGAAAATTGCAAAAACAAAAAAAAAATTTTTAATCATTACAAAGTTCAATATGAATGTAATAAACAAAAATAATACTGATCCAATCAGCACATCCGGAGATAATTAATTTACCGCAGATGATGATGTTCATAGATATTGAGCAAAAAATCCATATTTCAATCGTAAATATTTATGTAAAAAATTTTTTTCAGCAAAATCCTGAAATACGTGTCAAATTATTTTATGTATAATATCTGTAAAAAAAATGTCAGACAATTCTAAAATGTGACATTTTATTTTATTATCTTAGAAAATGGTACGTTTTATTATTCTTATAGTTTAGTAGATTATGCTATTCTTTTGACTTAGAAGTTTTTATAATAAATAGTTGTTCCTTATTGAAAATAGAAACAAATTTTTATTAAAAAAGCTGTCATTAGCTCAGATATAGTCCAGATAATACGCATCCTAATACACATGAAACCGAAAAAATATTGTTTATCAATTTTCCAATATAAGAACGAACGGCAACAATCATAGTGTGGCACAACGAACACAAACAAACATAGCGAGCAATGTTTTCGCAACTTGTTGGTACATCAAAGAAAATTGTTCGTTCATGTTTGAACCCGTATGTGCAGTGTGGACGCTGCCAAGACTGTAGACATTTCTTTTTTTTTGATGTTGTGCTGCTGTCCTGCATTAGTTTATGTTGTGACTATTATGTGATATTGCTATTATTGATACATTTTGCAAATATGATCACTTAAAACAATTTTTACCTTTCCCTCCACTTTAAATAATAAAACTGACGAGAAAACTGAATATTCTCGAACAAAGAAGATTCAAGCCCTTACTGCTTTGAGGTGTTTATTCAAGTTCGTTTGGAATGATTCGCCTTCGTTCGTGTTTGTGTTCGTTCTTCTTTCGTTCTTTTTTGTATTTTGTTGTTGTTATTCGTCATGTTTGTTCATGCTCGTTCGTTCGTCGGTGAGGGCGCACCTTAACTTGTTTGAGAATGACAGTTTGGTTGTGTCAGTCAACACTTCAAAAGTCAGCCACCAGCCACTAAAATTTGTTTATATTTGATTGGCGTTCTTTCGAATTTTCTTTGCCGAAAAGATTAGTTTATAAATTAAACCTATTTGTAATTGCTTAATGCTTCATTGATTGTTCTGTTCATCTTAAGGTTATTTTAAACATCTAACTGGTTTTTGATAATAAAAATGCCTAGATTGTCTAGATTAACTTGTGCTGTGGAGGATTGCGAGTTTAGTACATATGATAGAACAATAAATGAATTACGCAGAGTTCAGTTTTTTGCATTACCATCTGGATTATCTAACAGAGATCGTAGGTCGAAGTGGATTAAATGGCTCAGTGATATCAAGTAAGTTTTACATAATTACAGGAGTTTTACAATTACAGTATATAATAACAGATAATTTTTTAATTGTTTGCAGTGGTGAAAATTGGGAGGTATGTAAGTATTCACATGTGTGCTCTCTACACTTTATTGGTGGGAAACCTTCAAACATGCTTTTACATCCTGCATATGCTCCATCAATAAAGACTCGAGATGATTATACCCCATTGGAAGAGAAGATTGCCTTAGCAGAGTAATTATAATAATATATTGACATCTTTGTAGTTTTAACCTGTTGCATAAGTAAATAAAATAATAATGCATGTGTTACATTATAATTTTTAATGTAATAAATGATCACATAAATTTTGTGTCCAATAGAACCACAGTCGAGACATGTAAATGCTACATTTGTATGCATGACGTTTATAAATATGTACTGAGTTTAAAAAAGTTAATAACATGTAATTTTAATCGTAGGTTTGAAATATATAAAAAGCAAAAAATAGCAAATATGAAGAAGCGATACAATATGCTAAGCCTTAATCCAAATAAAGTTACTGGAATTAATCATTGTGCATCTCAAAACAGTTGTGCAGTAATCCAAAAAGATGTTGGTGTTCAAGTTTGGCATGAAGATATATCAAAACAAGACAAATCCTTTTTATTTGTATGTAATAGTTTTATCGATAATAATAAAAACCATGCAGAGATTCAAGTTTATATTCCAGAAGGGACCGGAAGTATGCGATTAGTAAGATATAAAAAAGCCAAAAATAAGTGTTGTGGAACTGAAGTCAAATTTGCAAATAAATCTGTTGAGTGCACTGCTTCGACATTGCTATCAGTTAGCAGATGGTTATATGAAATTGATAAGCTAGAACAAGAATCTAATGATAGATAGTTATTTTACTTGTGAATGATCCTAGTCAACACTTTGAATTTAAGCTAATGGTTAATGTCTGAGTATTTATAAATCGAGGCATGTAGGGTGATAAAAATGAAAAATTATCTAATAGGAACAAAATAACTAGTGGTACGTGGCAACATGCCAAAAAATTAAAGCGCTTTTGACCCAAGCTGCAAGCTCTATAAAATTTTAAACTAAATATTTTAATATTTATTTTAAGAATATGTATTATAAGAATAAAAAAAATAAATGAAGCCCTCTTCAACATGGGCACTAAGGAAAGCGGTACATTTATCACCATGCAGCAAGCATAAGAAATACATATATTTATTTTATGGTACACTATATGTACCAAATGTACATAAGTATTCACTATATGTAGTATATGTACATTGCACGTACCAGGAAGCCTGTGAGAGTTAAGGCAAATTTCTGAAACTTCTTGTATTATAATTAAACTTCTTAGAATAAAATTAGTTACTAATCAATAATTAATAACAATCATTTTAAATGTTTCCAAATAGATCAATAAGTACAGTAGAAACTCGATTAACTAGTCTAATTGTTGTCAATAGGCATTCCGATAATCAAATATATGAAGAATAATATTGTGTATCATATGTATGTATTCTTATTAAAAATAACAAATACATAGATATCACAAAAATAATGTTGAGAAATTGTTGTTGATGTAAGTTGTTAATGTAAGAAATTAAAACTTTCGTATGTATGTACATATATTTTTTCAAATTACATTACATACATATCCTAAACTGCAGCATTAATCATTCAAAAATCCGAATTCTAGGTATGCATATTATACATAGAAATTGGTCGTGTTGGTAGTCCGGATAATGGCGAATCCGGAGGGCTGGATAAACGAAGTTCTACTGTACTGTATTTTTCATTATTTGTATTTCATGCATAAAAAATAAGAGCTTATAATTAGACAACGACATGTTTGCAAGAAAAGTAAATAAACAACATTTAATCGCAGTTACAATAAGAATGTGGGGCCTTATATCATATTTCAGCATGCATTAGAGAACCTAATCTCATATTTCTAAGATTGATGTAAAAAAATGTGAAAACAAAATTATAAATATTACAAAACTGAATTGCAAAGTTTTTTTTTTGAGTATATCATTGAGCTTTAGAACTTTTGAAACTTGAAACTTTATGTTAAATGAAAATTAAAATTTTAAAATATAATTTTAACGTAATATTAACATTCTCGAATTCTTCGGTATTTTTTAAAAAATATTTTTTTAGATTGTGAAATATTTGGAAAACATTTTTTTTTTTAAATTTGAAAATTTTCAAAAAATTTTTTTTAATTTTAAAATTTTTGAATAATTTTTTTTGGAAATTTTAAAAAGAAAATTGGAGGATATTTTATGAAACTTCTAAAAGCGAAAAATCTTAAAAAAAAAAGAGTTAAAAAAAGGAATAGCTTTGTGATGAAAATATCACACGACCATTATCAGACGAAAAAGCGGTAAATCTCACGAAACGATGGAATCCCAAATAAAGCGGTTATATTGCGTTTGTCCTCATTTTTATTTTTATCAATTTGTCATTTTTACTAGATCCTGTTATGTTTAAAATATGTGTTAAGTATAATTTTTAGGAATTAATAGAATGTGTTAAAATTATATAATTTTTCAGGTTGGACGCACTTCTTAATTATACCTTAATAATTACGACGCTAGAAATATACTAAAAAATATAAAATAAAAATACAAAATTAAGAGGGATAATATTTCATAAAATGT